AAGTCTACAAAAAAAAAAAAAAAAAAAAAAACAAATTTGGAATTATTGGAACTTTCGGTTGAAGAAATTAATTAAAGATGAAGCAAACATAATAATTAAGGGCTGCCCAACTAAAATGAAAATAAAAATACAAAATTAATTAATTAAATTACAAAAAGAATAAATGTAAAACCCTAAGCTTAAGGATTAATCATACAAATGTGGGCCTTTGGATGAGTTGTGATGCCTAAGTTTCACATTTTTATTTTCTTCTAATCATTATGAGTACACAACACTAAACCCTTTTCCCTTCACAAAAATTGGTACCACCCCAATTATTTTTTTCTAATAATAATAATAATAATTATTATTATTATTATTATTTCCAATTCTACATTTGAACTTTCGGGTTCGAGGTGTAATAAAATAATTAATAAAAAATAATAGACTAAACTAGTTCAAACTCGACCATATCGGTATGTCAATACTATTATTTAAATATAGATTTATTTATCTTAATATTTTTAAATAAATAAAAAATATATATATTTATATGTGTAGTGATAATGGTCGGTATAGCCACTAAAATTTAGGTTAGGTAAAATCGTAATAATTACAATTAATCAAAATATAAACTACATAGCTTTGCCGTTACTACACAAAATAAAAAAAAAGTAATGAATTAACAAATAATTATTAATTCCTTCATAGTTTGGGCTCAGATAATTATTTGTAAATTTTTGGCCCAATTCAAAACCCTAAATTGGGTCAGGCCCAATTATTTGTAAATTTTTGTAAATTTTTTATTCTCTCAATATCTAACTTGCCCATTTTTAAACTCCCTCGGGATAGTGACCAATGTGATTGGTCGATGACTTTGCCCTACTTATTTTTTATGAGTGGATGTTGAAACGATAGAGATGAAACAAGGATTAAGATCGAAGAAATTGAATAAATAGAGAGTTTTTAAATGAAACGGTTTGTTTGGACACACGACGAGTGTGTAGGTTTATTCAAATGATTCATCAAATGGTGTCCATAATTTTGTTGTTTAAAAATTAAAATTCTTTTTTTAAAGATAAAATAAAAATTTAAATAGTGTTTTTATTAATTTGTAAGAAGGGTGTAGCATAAATTTAATTAAATTTAAAGAAAAATTTAGAATTTTGTATGTATTAACAGGAATTAGTTTTAGATGGATGAATGAATGGATCATCTGCAGCATCTCGCGCGTTATTGAATGGCTCAATTTCCGAACCCACAACGTTGCCATAATGGGTAGCTTTCTTGGCCAAGGGGCTAAATCAAAACCTAATTTCCACGTTAATGGCGGTCATGGTTGACAGTGAAACTTTGGACGGCCATGGCAAATCCCACTTTCAAACTCGGGAAAACCAATGGGGGCTGAAATGGCAAACAGGAAAGACTCAAAAATTGTAACCATAACCCCCACAGAACCTTTACTCTGCCACGTACACGATTCCTTTTTCCATCATTTACATCTCAATTCTTCCTCCACTTTCAATCCCCAATCCAATTTCATATATATTCTCTCCCTCGCCCTCCCTTTCTTCCCTTCCCAATTTTGCGTTCGCTTCCAACGATTCTCCATTACCCACTGCCTAATTTCTCTGCTTCTTCTGAGGTACTCATCTGTGTAATTTATATTTATCTAAGCTTTTGAGAATTTCGGGGCTCGACGTAGATATACTCCACAGATCTTCATGTTTATATCAATTCTTCTGTCTGTGTTCGTCGACTTATAAATGAGAGAGAAATGGATCATGCAAACTGGTTTTGTTAGTGGACGATCACATTCAAACCCACCAGACATTGTCTAGTCTGATCAAATTTTGATCACCCACCAGGCCTTGTTCCTGATCCAGGAATTCCTCGTTCTTCATCATTATTAGTTGTTTGGCTAGTATCACTTGTTTTATTTAGTGGTGAGTGGTTATGAATAAGAACAATGTGGTAATTGTTAAACCAGTTGGTACCTAATCTTCACGTTTTCTGTTGTTTGATGTTTGGCACATGAACTTTAGAAGCTGGCTTGTTTTGAATTAGAAATGCAACATTTCAATGATATCAGATGCTTTTCTGGCATTTGTTGAAACTGGTAACTTTTGTGTCGATGCATTCACTGTTCATGGTTAGGCTTTGGCTTAGCATAGTGTATTAGCTAGTGTCTTTAATATTATCAGGTTTATTCTTAATCATTCTCATTTCCATGTATTTTTCACTTCATTTCTTTACATCTAAAAGGTGAACTCCGTTAGTAACTTCTAAAGCTCAAGAATCTGTCTCTTGCAGATTTTGGAAGTACTGCGCTTTCAAGATGTCTTCTCCAAGCAAAAGGAGAGAAATGGATGTCATGAAATTGTAAGAGGCCTTTGTTATTTATTGTGATTTCGTGTTCTTATTTCAGTCATTGGTTGTTGTGGTTCTTCTACGTCGTCTGGATGGCTGTTTATGAGCCTTCCAACAACCAAGAAGATGCTATTTTGAAAACGAAAAATGATCTACTAGTACTGCAATAAGTTAGAGGAAAGTAACCTGTTAATTTTCTTTTTAGTTATATTTCTAAGCATGTTTGGTCATTACTTAAGTGTGTTATTTATCATTAAAAGCTAGGTGAGTTCAATGGTGTGTGTTTATTGCTATTGAATGTAGTGAGCTGTGGCTGAGATTTGATTAAACTTGGGGTTGTAAATATGGTTGCAGCAAAAGTAATCTTATCCTGTCATTATTATGTGCTAGAAAACATGTTAGGCATGCTGGCCTAGAACTGGCCTAGAACTGGCCTAGAACTGGCCCTGCATTGGGGTGGTCGGGTTTGAGTTTGAATATCGTTCGCTGTTAAGCCTACTGAATGGCTAATGCTATCAATTGGAGAGGAGAACGAAGCATTTTTTATAAAGGTGTGGAAACCTCTCTGGCCCAAAAGGGAAAGCCCAAAGAGGATAATATCTGCTAGTGGTGAGCTTGGACCGTACAATTGTAGTATAGAAGCCACACTTGTACACATGCTATCTTTTACTCGAAAATGTGGAATTGAGGTTCTAGATTCCTAATATCGTATGATGGCGGCCATAAATTTCTGTTGGTTGATCTTGTGGTTTATGTTGTCCAGGATGATGAGTGACTACAACGTGGAGATGATAAACGATGGACTAAACGAATTCAACGTGGAGTTCCACGGTCCCAAAGAAAGTATTGCTCGTCTTTCGCCTCTGTCAAATATGCATTTCATAGTCGTCGATGGAATAGCAAGTATTTGTTTGTGGGTGTGTATGAGCCTTATTGGATTGCAAATGAACAATTTAGCAAACATGCCGGCAGTCTAAAGCCAATTCTTTTATCTTATTTGGAGTCTCCTGAAAATTTATCCTTGAAGCGAGGTGTTTCTACTGCTTTCCTGTGTAATTTATGGACACTTAAAATGCATCTAGTTTAGTTGCATGTTTTCATACTCGATGAACGATTTTTTACCACATTTGGATCTAGAGCGTTTTCTTAAGTTTCGTTGTCCCTGCAGGCTTATATGAAACTGGTGTTTGGAAAATCCGTGTTGAGCTTCCTGACGCGTATCCATATAAGTCTCCTTCAATTGGCTTTGTGAACAAGATATTCCACCCAAATGTTGATGAACTGTAAGTATCTTTTCTCTTTTAAACATCAAATGAAATCGGTTCAATGCTTCACGTATTCGTAGCAAAGTATTTTACGTACGAGTTTTACCTGCAGATCTGGTTCTGTGTGCTTGGATGTGATTAATCAGTCTTGGAGTCCGATGTTCGGTAATTATCTACCATCCTCACCAAACCTCTATTAACACCTTACTAGACTCGAGTGTTTTCTGTTTATGTGTTCTGTGATAAGATGATATTAAACAATAGTTGTAACTGCCCAATCCCACCGCTAGCAGATATTCTCCTCTTTGGGTTTTCCCTTTCGGGCTTCCCTTCAAGGTTTTTAAAATGCGTCTGCTAGGGAGAGATTTCCACACTCTTATGAAGGATGCCTTGTTCTCCTCCTCAACCGAAGTGGGATCTCACAATCCACTCCCTTCGGGGCTAGCGTCCTTGCTAGCACTCATTCCCTTCTCCAATCGATGTGAGACCCCTCAATCCACCTTCCTTCGGGGCCCAGCGTCCTTGCTGGCACACTGCCTCATATCCACCCCTTTCAGGGCTCAGCCTCCTCACTGGCAAATCACCCAATGTCTGACTCTAATACCATTTGTAATAGTCCAAGTCCACCACTAGCACATATTGTCTTCTTTGGGCTTTCTTTTTCGGGTTTCCCTAAAAGGTTTTTACAACGAGTCTGCTAGGGGGAGGTTTCCACATCCGTATAAAGAATGTTTCATTCTCCTTCTCAACCGATGTGGATCTCAACTTTTGATGTGTTTGGAAATATAATTTAAAGTTCATGATCCATGGGACCATATGAACTGTATTGTGACTCCCAAAATATAGGACTAAACTTGGTCCTCATTTTACATATATTTGGGTTTGCATATGTTTGTGTCTATTCTTACCACTTTCTTTTGGGCTCTGCAGATCTTTTAAACGTTTTCGAGGTTTTTCTTCCCCAGCTTCTTCTTTATCCCAATCCTTCAGACCCCCTTAACGGCGATGCTGCATCGCTTATGATGAAGGACCGGAAGCAGTACGATGAAAAAGTTAAAGGTATATAGTTCTCGCAGTCGAGTATATAGTCGACTTTGACACCATTTCTATGATAACTCAATATCCACTTCCATGTGGATACAGAGTACTGCGAAAAGTATGCAAAGGAGAACACAGCAGAAGATGACAGTGAAGAAGAGGATGAAATGAGCGATAACGAAAGCGGTTCAAGCGACGGGGATGTTACTCGACATGCCGATCCATGATTGAAAGCTAAGTCATTATATCAATCGTTTCTCCATTTAGCAGCAACGACTAAATTTACATGTTTGGCTTTCCATAGGTTTACTGGCTGTACGATTATATCGAAAATGCCCAACAGAGTTTCAGAGTTTTAGATGTCTCTTAGATTTTCATGGCAATGCTGTGTTAAGTGACTTCAAATGTAAAAACGGTCCAGTAGGGGACACAAAGGAAGTTGACAATATTTTATCAGTTAATGAAATAGACTATACAAATGTGAAACTTTGGTTTGCTTAGCCCATCGTGAAGAAAGGAACATTGTTATATTGTCTCGGAAAATTCAGTATTAATGAGTATCTCATTCTTCTTAGAACTACAGTCTCTTTCAGACATCTCAACTTGGCGATACAACAATTTAAAAGTTACTTGTTTAGTTTTCAAAACTTGATTTAACTTTTGAAAACATACCCAAAAATAATAATAATAATAATGGGGTCTGGGGTCTGGGGTCTCCTGGAATGGCGTCAAAGCTTGGGTTATGCCCGAGAGGAGGGTGGGATTCTGGCTGTGGCACAAAGACAAGTGCTACAAGCTTGAAGGATTCTGGAAATTGCTGGGTATCGTTTGGGAGGTGAGAAATTGAATCCACTTCTTCTAAAGCTAATGGTCTACAATGGCTATGGTGATTATATGATGGACTTTGAATGAAACCTACCCATGCCTTGTGAATCTTTGTATTGTACTGAAAATTTCTTATGATGAATCAGTTTCCTCTTGCAGCTCAAACAAGTGCCAAGAACATACAAGAAGATTTCTGGATAAAAAATGAATTCTAGATTCAGCTGCAATCTAGAGTTCATCAATAATTTTTCGAAACTCGAAAAAAATCTCTGAAGAACATTTGCAGGCCCTAAGAGATTTTTTCAAGTTTCCCTTTATACAGAAAGATCATTGTTTCAGAGGACAGTGAGGAATTTGGCTCTACCTCAGATATTTGTTTAGCATAAAAGCAATGAACTTCAAGAAACATCAAGCAGAAAGAACAGGCAGCTGTTTGAAAGCCAAACTAGTGCAGTATACCAAGGAAATCCAACACAATCCTAATCTTCTATCTTTCTGTGAAGATTCTTTAAAATATCTTGAACCAAACAGCATTATTAATGGGTTCTCTTGTTCCCCATTCCCTTCCAATGGAAAAGACTGAAAGGACATGCCACCTAAATTCAAAGCTACTTTCTTTCTATATTGTCCCTCCCACAAAAACCCAATCTCATTGCAGAACAGTGAAAAAGAAGAAACAAGTATCATAACCCACTTTCCAATTCATACAAGGACAATCCCAATCCATATGCATATATTCTAAGGCCTTTTATTACCCCCACTTCATACATACAAGCACCTAATCAATATTATTATATCCTATCAAGGTATCGTTTAATATAAAAGAATAATTATAATAAACAATTCCTCTAATTGTATTGTTCAGTGATCCTGATGCGCCACCAATCCAATTAGGAAGAAGGAAAAAGGAAAATCCCCAAAATTTGCTTAAACATGTGTAATTACTTTTCAGACTATAAAGAAAAATCTAATGGAGGTGGCGCCGCCGGTGATGTCACAAGGTCAACCTTCCAGCTCAATGTGTGGACAATAACAGCAATAAACAGGGCGCATTTTAGTAGATATAGCACACCTTTACTCGACGGTAGGAGCATCCTTCCCCAAAACAGTGGTTCCTCCAGTCTTCAACGACCCCGGAATTGAAGCGTAGCGAGCAGAGAAGTTTCGAAATCCACTGAAATCATCGATATCGTCGTCCAGTTCCCCTATCTGCCCCGAGCCTTCGTCGAAATTCATAGCGTAACTCAACGGATCGTATTGAAATTTTCCAGGCCTAGCAGCAGCAGTAGCACCACTTCTATTCCGATTGAATCGGCGAATGAAAGTCTTCCATCTCGGTCCAGCGACGATCTCCGACCACTCTCGGAGCTTCAAAAGAACCCTAACGCCTCGCGCCCACCAGCGCCCCTCGTTGTGAACCTCCGACGCCCTAATCCGCTCCCACCATGACGGCCCGCCGGCGGCCGTTCGGCGAGATCCGAAGCACGATAGCCGGGAACAACTGCAGCTGGTGGTGGGCAACAGAGAATTGGATTTATCGGCTTCACAAGAAGGAGGCTCTTCTGCATGTGCATACGCCATTACCGCATTTGACAATGCGTTTTTTGAGCACCTTTATACAGCGCAATCAAAATGAAACGGAAACCAGCTGTGACCTGTGTGACCGGCTACTTCCGGTCACCAAGACGAATTTAAAGCGATAATCAATCCAAATTCACTGGGAGTTACCGGTCATTCGAGTATATCCACGGACGTTTGAGCTGTTGTTTGGAGGGAAGCGGGAATTATAATCTGGTGTTTCGGAAGTAGACTAAAAGTGGGACCCATTTTTTCGATGTATCCAATCACTGAATTGAAGCGGATCCCGATTTTATTAATCAACGCTGGTTGATTAGCTAAATTATAAAATAAATTATTAATTTTACTCTTTTTATATGGTATATTTCTTTTAAACATTTTATATAATTTATTGGATTCATTTTTTATAAACCCATAATCATCTACGTGGAACTCTCTCCCAATAATTCTCAACGGCCTCACTTTGAACAAAGTACACGATAGAGCCTACACTGTGGCCTATGAAGCCCTTGAATAGTCTTCCACTTAATCAAGGCTTGACTACTTTCTCTAGAGTTCTTGAACAAAATACACCATTTGTTCGACACTTGAGGATTCGATTAGCATTACCAAGCTAAAGGCATGACTCTGAAACCATGACCTCCACAATGATATGCTTTTATTTACTTTGAGCATAAGCTCTCATAACTTTACTTTTTGTTTCCCCAACCGGTCTCTTACTAGTGGAGATGTATTACTTACTTATAAACTCATGATAATCTTCTTAATTAGCCAACGTGGAACTCCCTCCAAACAATTCTCAACACTAGTCTTACTAGGCCCTGATTAGGAACCCAATGGGTGGAATGAGATGAGATAATATGATTATGTTGTTGAAAGTGGGGAATAATTAGGGGATCACCAACTTACTCTTAGTCATGAATTTGTTCGGATAAAGACAAGTGCATGTATCATACATACAAGGAGTGTGTTGATTTCTAGTAGTACCTTAGTACTATAAGGAGTGTATTGATTTCTAATAGTACCTGAAATAAGTAGTAAGGAGTGTATTGATCTCTAATAGTCTGTGAAATAACGGGAGCGCTGATCTCTAGTAGTAATGTAGATGAGTGTTAGACCACTAATAGTGTCTTAAATGATTGCTACAAGGGAGTGTTGAACTCTAGAAGTGCGTGTATTCTCTAGTAGTGTTGCACGGGAGTTGATGTTCAATCTCTAGAAGCACCATCATCTCGAGTGATTATCACACCTCGAACACATGTCCATGTCCAGATGCGTGAAGATTGAACCGTTCATACCCGAACACATGAGTTCTAATATCTTATACGAAGAACGAATCCTTAATTGAACTAAAGTAAGAAGATGAACATGAACATGAAGAAACACTTTATAAAAAGAATGGTCATCTTGTAAGAACTATGGCTATTTGTAGTTGGTATCTGAAACCTGTTCACTATATCTGTCAAAAAAGGAAGGAGAAGAAAAACAACTTTATACCAATCCTAGGCTCCAATGGATCTTGTTCTGCTACCCTCAAAACCGGAAGAAGCGAAGAACGAGTTTCGTGAAACGGTTGTTTACACCACCGACCCAACTTACTCTAGGCATCTCCTGAATGTGAATCCATTGCCACCCGTGATCGGTAAAGAATCGGGTAATCTCAAATGGAAGACACGAACCCGACTCCTTAGAGGATCTCTAGGAAAGGAAATCAAGTGAAACAAGCATTCTCATCTTGAAACGACAGACCGAACCTTCCACATCAAACATCATCCTCGAACAAAACATGAGCTTCGAAACCTGATCTCAGTTTACCGCTAGTAGAGGTGGCCAGGCTATGAAGTACGGTCAAGACGTCGGTGGTATCGTCTAAATAGTATTTGGCTTTGCTAGGCTTTTGCCCCACAGTACAGGCAAATATCTTTGGAGGAACAGCAAGGGATGAGCTATAGCTTGTACATGATATGCTTTCGAACATGTCTTCATCAGATCGATCGTCTCCGATGCACATCACAAAGTCGGGCGCCTTATCAGAGGTGATCATAGTGGAAAGAACTCTTTCAGCAACTAATCCTTTAGTCACACCCTGAAAACAGATGATTGCTCAGCCTCCATGAGAATCGAAACGAAAAAGCCAAGGAAGAAGTGAGCCGAACGTGTAAATACCTGTGGTTTCACTTCGACTATCTGGTGGCCTCTTTTGACGACTACAGGTTCGTTAGCAAGAACATTTTCAAGGTGATCTAAGAGCTCCATGGCCTGGCATGAACCAAAACATGGATCGGCGTCTCGATGATGCCATACTAAGGCACTGTCCTTGGGCTCTATGGACGATCCATCGGTCGCCTCGGTGTATAGTTTCATCACAGGTTCTGCAATCCTTTTCCAGCCAAAGTTTTCAGCTAATGTACTAACTTCCCATTCAGAGTCCCTCTTCCACCTACAAGTAAATCAAGAGTTCAAACAAGAATCAAAGCTCGTCCTACGACTAGGAAAGTAATCGGTAAGCTAAGTTTGGTACCTCAAATAGTATCCATGTTCAGCGGCAATACCGAGATTCTTACACGAATCGAACCACGAACTAAGAGTATCTTTCCCCCTCCCACTAACTATGAACACAATGTTCTTTGAATCCTTGCAAAGGTCGTTGAGTATAGAAATGACTTCGGGCGTCGGGGATTTGACCAACGAAGCTTGGGAAACGACAGTCCCGTCGTAGTCCAAAAATATTGCCCTCCTAGAAGCGCTCCGATATGCAGAGCCAATATGTTCAATGGAAAGCTTCCTGAAACTTGGTGAAAGTGACAGAATTCTGAATCCTAAACCGAGTCCAATTCCCCAGCATCGTTTACTGTAGTGATCTTGACATGCTCGCTCTAAATCTTGCGAGAAACTGCGAGCCCAGTAAGCAACGTCATGAGAGCTAATGTATCGGTAATGTTTTTCGTGCCTTAGTTGCTTCTCTAAAGAAGGCATTGCGACAGCCTCGTAAAGTGCCTCAGCTACAGCATCAAAATCCCAAGGGTTTACTCTAACCGCACCACTTAGAGATGGCGAACAACCTATGAATTCTGACACGACAATCGTGCTGGTATGAGGTGAATCCGGGGAGACATCCAAAACTTCGTCGATTTGAGAAGTTCCCTGTCGACAAACAATGTACTCGTATGGAACTAAGTTCATACCATCCCTGAGAGCATTTACAATGCAGCACTCAGCTAATACATAATATGCAATCTTCTCATGAAAAGGAATAGGATGATCAATCAAGATCACAGGTTCATATCCCCGAAAACCGAAAACCTTGTTAATCCTTTTGGTTATCTCGTAAGTTTCCATTTTCGCTTCGAGGACGTCGTTCCCATTGCTCCGTGCAGGATTTAGAATTTGCACCAGAACGACACTGCCCCGTAACTCTGGATGCTGGTTCAACAGCTTTTCCATAGCTAATAACTTCAGACCAATACCTTTAAATATGTCCATATCATCAACACCAAGAATAACCTTCTTTCCTTTGAAGTTTTCTTTGATCTCCTTGGCTTTTATTGAAGTGTGGGAATGATTTAATGCGAATTCGAGTCGACCCATATGAACTCCAACAGGCAAAATCTTGATGTATATCGTACGTCCGAAATAGTCAAGCGTGAGATAACCACGTTTCGGTTCATACTCCAAACCGAGCAGTCTACTACAACATGATAGAAAGTGATGAGCATAGCTGAACGTATGGAAGCCGATTAGGTCCGTGTTAAGTAACGCTTTCAGAATCTCGTCTCTAACAGGCAGAGTTCGGAAGATCTCTGATGAGGGAAACGGACTATGAAGGAAGAATCCAAGCTTAATTCGACTGTAACGTTTTCTCAAAAAAGTAGGGAGAACCATAAGGTGATAGTCATGAATCCAAACCATATCTTCTTCCAAATTGATCACCTCCATAACTTTATCAGCAAACCTTTTGTTCGCTGAAAGATATGCTAACCAAAGAGGTCGATCAAAGCGAGATCCGTGATAAGGTGAAATCGGCATCATGTAATGGAAAAGTGGCCATAGATTTTGTTTACAGAATCCATGATAGAACTGTTTCTGAAGGGACGTCGGGACGAAAGTCGGTACACAGTTGAATTCCTCCAGTAGTTTCTGTGAAATCTCTTCTTGTTCTTGGACATTGACATCAACCTTCAATGATCCAACATAAACAACATCAACATCTGATGAGAATCCATCTTTCATCTGAAGCAAAAGCGAATCTTCGTCGAAGCTAAAGTTCCATCTCCCAGAATCTGGATCCTTTTTAGCATGAACAGGAAGGAAGTTCGCCACTATTATCGTCCTCCCTCGACATTTATTGGATAGTATCCCCGACGCAGTCATCGCCTGTGGAACATTTCTCGGTGTAGGAGGAAAATCCAACATATCCACAGATGATAACTCTAACAAACTCAAGCAAGAACTTGATAGCATGACAGCAAACAATCAAATGCTCCCAGTCATTGATGATAATCAATGCTACAAACACATAACAAACAACAAAAAACCTGAAGAACAGTAAAGAAATCAACCATTGGCTTCCAAATTCAATATATTTTCTTCTAAACATCAACTAAACAGAAGTGATTATGTTAATCTCAAACCAACAGTTTCAAAAGAACATAATAATTGGTCGTTTTCAGATCCAACTTTTTTAACCATCCATACCGACAAGAAGAATTTAAAATTGAAAAACAAGATAAGGACAAATGTCAAATGGTTATGCACTTATCCTTATCTTGAAGTTACTGAAATCCTCACTCAACGAAAGTGTATAATAATTGCAATTCATCTTTCTTCATCCCTATCACTTTAAACTTAAACAATAAACAAACCCCACTTCTTGGATTTCCAGATCATTCATTCATTCATTCAAACCCATCGGGGAAAAAGCGAATCATAACAAAGAAGAAAAGAAACGAAAGCTACCTGAAACAAGAACAGAGGAACGAAAGAAGCTCTGTTTTGAATGTTCTCCAAATGCTCTGATTCCCTGAAGAAGAAAGGAAAGCGTGGAAAACAAGTTAAGACCCAGAAAAGAATGAGGAAAAGGGTATTCGAAACTTGAGCTAAGAAAGGGAATGGAAGAAGGAGACCCCACAAACTTGATTCTATTGTCCTGCAGCTTCTGGGAAGCAAAACAGAGGAAGAGGAGACGCCATTACAGAGGGAAGAAAGGAAGAAGAAGAAGAAGAAGCATTTAGGGAGAGATTTTGTGGGTTTAGGGATTAGATGGAATGAATTGGATAAAAGGGAGTTAATGAATTGAGATTTAGACGAACAGTCAAAAAAGATGGAGCGAGGGGTGAAGGGACAGTTGGATAGCAACCAGCATTGGTCGTACGCTCATATTTCCTTCCCTTGTTTCTTCAAAGGTTAAATATTTTATTCAAAAGCATTAAATTTAAAATCATTACCCTTAAAATTCACATAAATTTTATTTTATTAATTAAATTAAATTTCTAAATTTTGAGAGAAAAATATATTTTAGTGTCTTTAACTCTCCATTAATTAAAAGATAGATTTAGGAGATAATATGTAGATTTTTTTTTTCGTATTAATGTAAAAATTATAAAAAAAAAAAACTTTAAAATGGGTAGAATTAATCTTGAAAGATATATCCATTAATGTTTGAGGAAACATTATTATTATTTAAAATAAAATAAAAAGTAGTCAAAATTGTGGGCAAATGCGTTCACATTTGAAGAAAAAAGGACCGAATTTGCCGGGAAAGGGGGAGAAATTAATAATTTGGCCCTCTTAAAATTGAAATTGAAATTAAACCTAGCAACTATATTATGAAATTAATAATAAATATTTTAAAAAATTAAAAAAAATTGATTCATGTTTGAGCCAAACTATAAGAAAGCCTTGTATTGAGCTTTGACATGGAATTAATTTGGTTGGGAGTGCGCCGACATTCGGTGCACGCGGCCGCTCGACCACTCGCATCCCATGCCATTTTACCAAACTACCCTTTCCGTTTCATTACCAAAACCCCATTTTTTTTTAATTTCTTCCTCTCCCGGCTCCTCAATGGATGCCTCACCCTTTTTAAAAAAGAAAAAAAAAAAAAAAATCAAATATCTGCCGGTGGTGAACTTGAGCTGTTACAAACGGTATCAAAGTTAGACATCGGATAGTGTGTGAGCGAGGATGCTGAGCCCTAATGGAATAAATTGTGAGATCCTATAGCTGGAAAAGATAACGAAACATTCATTATAAAAATGTAAAAAACTTCCCTTTGACCGATACATTTTAAAACTTCAAAAGAAAACTTAAATAAAACGACATTTATTAACGATAGACTTAAATGGTTAAAAAAAAAAAAAAACGGGGTGATACAAGAGAGGGGCAAAAATGTAAATAAAAGAAAAAATGAGGTGGATTAACGAGAAAAACGAGGAATTGGATGAGGATAGAATCTAAAGCAAAGGGGACAATGATTTTCCATGCACTTTTTCTCTCTCATAATCTCGTACGGTCTTTTTACACGCAATGAATAATAAAAAGCAAATAAAAAAAAAATCAAAAGGAAAAACCATGGGCACCCCACGTGGACCCCACTCTCGCCATACACGTAATACTCCACGTCACTCCCCACCATTGCAATTTCCTTTGCCTCTCACTCGCCACGTCCTCATTGATTCCATTTACCTAAACAATCATTCTCAGCCCTCTCCATGTTCATACTTTCTTTTTGCTTATTACCTAAACACCATCCACGTATATCATCCATTATTTTCTGAATTTAATTTTCCTTATTCAAAAACTTCTAAAAAGCTTATTGTTATTTTTAAATTTAATATTTATCTTAATCAATTTATACGATTTTATACCATATTTTATTATAAAAACCTATTAGAGTACTCCGAATGATTATTTTCTAAAAAAAGTAAATTAAAATTTTAGGGATAAAGAAAAATAATTTTAATAAAACTATGTATAAATTTAGAAAAAAATAAAGGTTATATATAGTAAAGTAAATCATATTAAATGAAATATATTTATAAATCTTATACCAAACCTAAATAATGAATAAAAAAACCTTTTTTTAGAAGCAAGCAAGAAAAAAATTAATAATTGAATTTAAATAATAGTATTGGGGAGAATAAATTATTTTTCTTTTAATTAAAAAAAAAAAAGAGAAGGAATTCGGCTTTCGGTCCTTATCCACTAAAAGGAAGAAAGTGGGCCCATTACCTTTTAATTTGATGGGATAATCGAATGTTCTACCTTATCCTTTCTTGGCATGACGTGTCCTTATATTTTTCCTTTTTTTTATTCATCGCCATTTCTTTTCAATTTTTTAATTAATTTTAAGCATTTAAAAATATGTTCTTATGACATCAAATGGGCTAGTTCGGCCCATATTTACTGAGATATTTGGGCCATACAAGTTGGGCCGGCCCTAAACCAACCAACCTAATTTCCGACTTATAAAATTTAGTTTTATATAATATCAAGAGTTTAAATCATAGAATAATTATTATAATTTTAAATATTAAAATCAATTTTGTAAAATCTTCGTATATAATTGATTTATCGTAGAAGTTATATAAATTTTAATTTTTAAAATTATAGAACTAAATAAAAATTGACATTTAAAAAATATTATATTTAAATTTTATTAGGTAAAGAACTTTTGGCGCGCGATATTAATATCCGTAGAAGCAGTAAACGGAAGAAAAGAAGAACAAGCGCTCTGCAAAATTTCTCTGGCTCAACGTATTCCTCTGTTTATCTTCCAAAAGGCCTTCAAGTCTCTCTCTTCGATCATATTTTTCGTCTTTGCAATGGAAAAATGCATAACATTGTTCATTCTCTATTGGGCGGTCTTCACAAATCCTTTGTAGGATCATATCCTCGAACCAGATTCCGATTTCGTGGTCTGATGGCACCGCATCTTCCTCGTTACTTGTTTGATCGCGCTCTTCGTCGATCCTCTTTTTCTTTTATCTCTCGATCATTGGCGGCCCTTCTTGTAGGCGATTCAACACTGGATTTGGCATCGTCGTCACGAAACCATCGTCGATTTGTTCTCCTTGTTTCAAATGCTTATGAAGTTCCGCACCGCCTTCGTTGCGCCCAATTCTAGGGTTTTTGGCCGCGAGGAGCTTGCTTGGACCCTAGGGATATTGCTATGCGCTATCTCAAGAAGGATTTTGTCATCGATCTTCCCGCCATGCTTCCCCTGCCTCAGGTGAAACGATTCTTCTTTAACTGATCGAATTAGGGATTTGATTTAGGGTTTAGCAAAATTTAATGTGGCTCGGTTGTTGTCCGAGATCCGGTTTGGATCTCTATTTTGGGGAAATGGAACTCTTGATTTTAATCAATTTAATCCAAAGTAAATTCTCTTGATTTTGATTTTCTCCTTTGCAGTTCTACTATTGCCTAATTCTTTGAGATTTGTCGGTGCACCCGGTAGGAGCTGCTTGGCATGTGGCATCCATTCAGCGCCAGCATGAATGTGTTGGCAGATTGAATGTAGAAAGGAGATGAATACCACACATTCTCCGTCTTGCAGACCATTTTTTTAATATTAGTGAAGTTATTTTCAATACTGTATTTATACGACATATACGAAACACATATTTTATAAACTATCAAATTCAAAATGAATTCAACCACAAGAGTGTTCCGATTCAATTAATTTTTTATGAAAATATCAAATAGTTGGCAAACGATTTACATATAAGTTCGATCAATCTTCCATAATTTAATTGAAAATAAATTTAATATAAATAATATTTTGTTAATCTCATCAATATTGGTAAACATAAACAAATAGACAAACATTGGAAATCACGTTTACCAATTTGGATATATTAAATAAATTTTGAACGTATAGATAAATTTTTATTAAATTATCAGTAAACAGTTCATAATTTTATAAAAAAATTTAAAAAGTATAGGGAAATATTATAATTTAAACCGTAATTAATGTAAAGTTATTCAGAACCTGTTCAACGCTTAATTAATTGGAAGTAAGAAGCTTCAAAAGTAACCAAATATTTAAATATCTTAATTATATACTTTGGACCAATGAATTAATTGTCTCAAAATTCTTGAATTTAATCATTTGTGAAACTTGGTTAGAAAATTTTCAGATTTAAATAATAAATTTAGAACACGTTAATATTTAAATCATTTAATTATAATAATTTTTTTAAAAAAGGTAAGCAATAGTGTCTTTATCAAACTAATTTCACTTATTAATTTAATTTAAATAATCTCCAAAGGGGACTAACTATTTTAACCAGATTTCACTGTCAATAATGAACACACATATATATAATTAATTATATTTCCACGTCATATTTATAAAAGAGGGTCTTTACATTAATTGGCTTCTCATCCTCAATATCATCATAAATTTTATTAAGTTTACATCAATGTCAATCGTTTAATGATCTCGCTTCAACTAACCAATGGTTAAATAATTGTAGTCCGGCCAAACAATCGAGCTAAATTTCTTACCATAAACCACAAAAATCAAGTTATTGTATATTTACAAATTTATAGGTACAAAAATGTAACGTCTTAAATCCATTGTTAGCACATATTGTTCTTGGGCTTTCCATTTCGAGTTTCCTTCAAGGCTTTAAAATGCATCTCGAGAAGGTTTACACACCCCTGTGAATAGTGGTTTATTACAAAAAAAAAATTATCATATAGATTTTTATTAAAATTTAGGAGCTAAAATTGTTTCTTAACCGTAAAAAATCTGACCCTTTTGAAAAAGATATATTTTTTCTTAGAGAAATGAATATGTTTTGGAAATCTGCCACACCATTCTCTTAGAATCCCAAACAAGACAGATTTTTGATACCTTGAAACTCGGAATTTTGCTTCAAAATCAATGTTTATCAGAGCTTTGAGATGAAGATCTAGAAACAGAGAGACCAATCTTTTTTGGGAATCAAACAAATTACTTTTATGATATTGTCCTGTTCTTGTTTGTCCCATTTGAATGGAAACTCCAGCTCTGTTTTACACCGATGTGTTTATTAATAGGGAAGAAAACAACCTTTGTTAATTTCGAACTGTAAAAAAAAAAACACAATATGTGGGTGTTGTTTCTGCCATTTACTTTCTTCCCATTCAATTTGCACCTTGTTTTTTGAGGGAGGAAATGTGAAAATGACTTTGAAACTACCCTTCTAATTTGGGGTTTTAATTATTGTTCTGACATTCCTAATTTATGGCCTTAAGTGGCGTTTAAACGACAGGTTTTGGCATCTACTTAACCGGTGTTGGATAGGAGAGCTTAAACGTGTGAAGGGGTCTCGTGGTTTGTGCTTCGAAGCTCTTGTGTTTTGTGGCCATGGCTGCTCGGAGAGGAATCTGTTCTTTACTATCTCGTTCTCTGTTATCATCTTCTTGTTCTTCTGGTTATGGGTTTGGTTCTTTTCTTCAATCTCGTGGTGGGTTTCTTTCTTTTTTTATTTGATATCTCTTGAGGCCATGTTCTTTGAAGTTGTAATGGATATTCATAATTGTGGGTTTCAGGGAGAGTTTCAAGGTTGCATGGAAGAGGGAGAAGATTCAGCTCATCTGCTGTGGCGGAGGAGGAACTTGTTACTCCTCCTGTTCAGATAAGTTACACTCAGAATCTGATTAATGGGCAGTTTGTGGATGCTGCATCAGGTGAGTTCCATATCTAACCTTTTGATCGATCATATATATCTTAACCGGTCGAGTTAATACTGTTTTTGTTTTAGCTTTCGTATATCATGAAATTGTGTTTTTGTTATAATCTTACCTTTCAAAAGTTATCTGATGGATGGAAGGAAGGTTGAATTTGATATGTTTTGATCGTAGGGAAAACGTTTCCGACCTACGATCCTCGCACCGGGGAAGTGATTGCTCATGTTGCCGAGGGCGAGGCGGAAGATATCAACCGGGCGGTATCGGCAGCTCGCAAGGCTTTCGATGAGGGCAAATGGCCGAAGATGACTGCTTATGTAATGCATTCCTGCAGGCTGCAACTCCTTTTGTTGTTTTCCCTCCCCCTCTTGCCTTTATTTGAATTCTATATCGATGCTCTTTGTGTCGATTTTCAGGAACGATCGAGGATATTACTGCGGTTTGCTGATTTGGTTGAGAAACATAGCACGGAGCTTGCAGCATTGGAGACATGGAACAATGGCAAACCTTATGAACAATCGGCTCGGACCGAAATACCTATATTCGTGCGCTTATTTCACTATTACGCCGGTTAGTTCATCGCAGCATGGTGGCGTATCAGCCCTTGTCCTGCTGTTTTTGTAGGTTTGTAAGTGGTTTTGGTGTTGGTTTGTTCAGGGTGGGCGGACAAAATCCATGGCTTGACCGTTCCAGCTGATGGGAAATATCATGTGCAAGTATTACATGAACCAATTGGAGTTGCAGGACAGATAATTCCATGGAACTTTCCTCTCCTTATGTTTGCTTGGAAAGTTGGTCCTGCTCTAGCCTGTGGCAACACCCTTGTCCTAAAAACTGCAGAGCAAACGCCTCTGACCGCTCTTTATGTCGCAAAGTTATTCCACGAGGTAGCGTTTTCAAAGCTATGTTTGTTCGGTTTATAATGTTCTAATATTCTCTGTCCATGTCGTGACTAATCTTCATCCTCCCTCGGTCGATCAATCGAATAGGCTGGTCTTCCTCCAGGAGTTCTGAATGTCGTTTCGGGCTATGGTCCAACAGCGGGTGCTGCCCTTGCTAGCCACATGGATGTGGACAAGGTGATAGCACAGTCTTGAAACCATCTTGCTTCTTATGTTTCTTTTTGAAACTCAAATCTGGTATGTTCAGTTGTAGCTTCCTATAAGAGATTTATAACGATCTACATATTTCACGACAATGATCGGTTTGCAGGTAGCCTTTACAGGATCGACGAACACGGGAAAAGTTGTGCTCGAATTGGCAGCTAAAAGCAATTTGAAACCGATAACGCTCGAACTTGGAGGGAAATCGCCTTTCATCGTTTGTGAGGATGCAGATGTCGATAAGGCCGTGGAGCTTGCTCATTTTGCTCTTTTTTTCAATCAGGTTTGTCTGAAGGGGTCACTTTTGCCATGGATTTGCAGGATTTGAACTCATTGTTAACCATTCCATGTTCATTTTCAGGGGCAATGTTGCTGTGCTGGATCTCGTACTTTTGTGCATGAACGTATATACGATGAGTTTGTCGAGAAGTCGAGGGCACGTGCCCAAAGACGTGTGGTTGGTGATCCTTTCAAGAAGGGTGTTGAACAAGGTCCTCAGGTAACTCTCTCCATTTACCTTTCCGTATCTAATCCATGAGAAGAAAAACCATATCATTCATGTAAAGATTAACGATAATCGACGTACCCTTTTTGAACGTCACAATCGGGTACGTCACAATCATGTCCAGATCGACTCGGAGCAGTTTGCAAAAGTCCTAAGATACATAAAATCTGGCATTGAAAGTGATGCTACTTTGGAATGTGGGGGTGACAGACTTGGGTCCAAGGGATACTTCGTCCAGCCGACAGTTTTCTCAAATGTTAAGGTGATTGTTTTATGTCTTCACTAGCTTCCTTGCTCTAAAGAATGTAAACTAACCTTTCGACCTGTTTTTCTCCTTCATCGATCAGGACGATATGTTGATAGCAAAGGACGAAATCTTTGGCCCAGTACAATCCATCTTGAAATTCAAGTGAGTTGCCAACAACTCGAAACACATTATATCACTCGTTCATTCGCCTTAATTTCTTCATGAATTTTGTCAATATCAGGGACATTGATGAAGTTATTCAAAGGGCAAATGCAACTCGTTACGGTCTAGCTGCTGGAGTTTTCACTACAAACCTCGACACAGCCAACACCATAACACGAGGATTGAGAACAGGGACGGTGTGGGTCAATTGCTTCGATGTATTTGACGCTGCAATACCGTTTGGTGGGTATAAGATGAGCGGAATGGGGAGGGAGAAAGGAATTTACAGCCTCCAAAACTATTTGCAGGTAAAGGCTGTAGTTACTCCTCTGAAGAATCCAGCATGGTTATGAGAATGGGAGTAATGCCAGTGAACTAGAATAATGTTTTATTTTCAGTTTCAGCTTTGTTATTTGCACAAAAAACAAAACTTTTATTTCTGTACTCTAGTTGAGCCCAATCTACCTCTTAATCTGAGCTATCCCTCTTGAATGATTTGATTGAACATCCACTCTTCTCAAGGACTAAAGACAAATTATCAAAGAATTTGGTTAATTAATTTCAAATCGATAATGAAGATCCTTGGTGGTTTTCAGAATTTTTCAATTATGGAAACTGTCCATAGTACTCGTTGGGCTTTCCCTCCAGGCTTTTTGAAACGTGTTTGCTAGGGTTTCCACATCCTTATAAAGGGTGTTTCGCTCTCCTCCCAAACGGTAGGATCTTACAAGGAAAATCTAAAACAGTAAAACAGTCTCTAAGTGTATGAGGAGATGGAAAGATGAAGACAATACCATTTTTGCATTTTAATCATACAATTCATTCAATTGATGTCAGTACAAAAGGCTTACATCAAATGGCAAAGTGAAAGGCAGCAAAGTCCCTGGTTTATGTACCCACCACCATAATCTATTTTACTACTAGCCTCACCTCAATAGATATATATATCTATATATATATATATTCCTACTTCTTCTATTTGTCATTACCACAATCACATTATGATTTTTCCCTTTCATCTTCAAAATAATTTTACCAGATTTCTGTGTCCAATTCAAACAAACAAATCTTTAAGGCCCTCTATATTTTCGAAAGCATAGACAACCTTGAGTTTGATCAACAGGGATCATACCTCCACCCTTGGATGTGTCAATGACCTCCAACATGGAAACTACTTCGTCCATCTCTGGCCGCTTGTCCGGGGTTGCATCCCAGCATCGCTTCATCACATTTGCTAGAGAGCTTGGGCAACATCTCGGTATCTCTGGCCTCAGATTCTGCAGTTTTGAAATTTACCATTTTCAGGAGAGTTAATGATAGGTTGAAAACAATGGAATGATTTCTTCTCAAGCGCACATTGTCTGCAGATATGAAGAACTATGGGTGAAAGAATCGGCAATCTACCTGACGAACCACAGCAGAAGTCACTTCGGAGAAACTAAGGTCGGGATATGGCATGTCACAGCAATAAATTTCCCACAGGCAGATACCGAAACTGTACACGTCACACTTCCTGTTATATGGGTTGCCATTGAGAACCTGTAACCAGAAGAGCGCTATAACTTCAGCAAAATCATCGTTCTGATGTGTTTGATAGCTACATTTTTGGCATTGAAGTTCTTTGGTTTCCATGTAAGGAATGAGCGACACAACTACGGAATCAAAAAGGAAACATTTTATGGCCAATGCACCTAAATGTCGTAGAGCTGACCGAAAAGTGCATACCTCAGGAGCCATGTAACCAAGTGTCCCAGTCTCCCCGGTCATGTCATTGGGATTTGAGGCCTCAACTCTAGCAACGCCAAAATCAGCAATTTTAACCGTACGTGTTTTGTCCAGCAGCATGTTTTCTGTCTTTACATCTCTGTGAACGATCTTCTGTGAATGAAGGTAACTCAACCTACAAAATAAATGGAACACTTTCTAAGAGCCAAATATAAACAAGTGCACACTATTCTCAAATATACGGTTAAGATTAGCGAACAGAAGGGATAGGAATAGTGGTGCAGGGGTACCCTCTAGCAAGATCAAGTGCCAACTGGACAACCACCTTGAAAGCTAGCTTCCTTCTCCTGTTCTTTATGAGATAAGATTTTAAGGCACCTCCAGCGAGATATTCCACCACAACACAACATATGTTACTTGGCATGCCTATTAGACCATTTTCAGTTTGGATCTGCAACTCCGCTGAGCCCATTGTTGCTCCTATAAACTGAAAACGAATTGAAAAATGTAAAAAATCCAAAACTATCGACCAAAACCACAAAAAAAACAGCACAACTTAATAGATTACTTGTTGGATAAAAACATTGAGTTTGAGATATCAAAATCTGAACATTAAAATACATATACTTGAAAGTTCCCCATTCACTATGACAGAGAAAAGGGGGAAATGAAAAAGAAGGGGCGATGATAAGTTGAGAGCCTAGATAAAGACCCTAGTTTTTCACTATCAAAGATGTCAAGACTTTCTTTATCTGATTGAGGCCCTCCAAAGGGAGCAACATGCTTCTTGGCCTTATCTGATTTTATTCTAGCAAGGATAAGATTTAGTTCAGTTGACTTTTTTCCCTTCTACAAAAGTAGAAGGATGGTGAGAGATTAGAACTCTAGATGGAATCTGTTAACGAAACTGAATGTTTCCAGTTGAGCTTCCAATAGAAAGAAAAGATTTAATTCGATTTTGAAGTTCATGCAAGAAGACTTTTCAGTGGCCTATATAGAAGACAATTAAAAGCAAATCCTTTTTACACAAAAATCAGAAAAGAAGAGGTAGCGGAGAGGAAAAAGAACAGTTTCTGGTTATTGGATCATTAGCTATTCGGGATCTAATTGATCATCTATTTTCTATATTGTCAGCATTTTCCAAAAGAGAAACAATATTATAAGTACACTCAGTTGATTCAATATCAATCAGGCTAGGCAATAGAATTGAGGGTTGGAACAAGCATATGACAAGACATTCATTTTAAGTTTCAGAATCACAACAAGTGGGTGAATAGTCGCAGAAGTTGCTAATGACCTTAGTAACATTGGGATGCTCGAGTTTATGCCAAACAGCAACTTCCTGTTTGAAAGCTGCCCTTAGTGAAGAAATTTCAGCTTCTGTCCTGTGACCCTCTTCTCCCCAATCCAGCATCTTGACTAATGCATTAAAAAAGCCAACAGAAAACTTCAGAGGACGGTAGCAAACAACTACAACCCAGTAACATTAACAAACTACAAACCAAGATAATATTTTCATTTGAAAATAAAGGAGTGAGTAAAACAGATCTTGAAATAATTCAGTGATAATGATAGCATTAAAAAGGGTAGATGATAATGATGATATAGATGAAGAAAAAAATACAAGTCCGTAGCAGCTAGCAGAAATAGCCAATTCGTAATAACAGCTTTTCCAGGACAAATTTTATCCAACAGCTGGAATCACATGAAAGTTTATAACTTTATCTACAGAAAGTCATTCAGGCCATCGTTGTCATAAAAAAACTCAACTCAATCTCGTGTATGCATCACGGATCATCTAAAAGAGAGTTCAAATGGCCAATCACCACTTCCTGACAGTAGCAACATGTCTTTAAAATAAACAGTTAGTCCAAAGAAGCCTAAACAATCACTGTATAGGATCCAATGAAGAGGGTGCAAAATCAGTACAACATTTCAAAGAACTAATAGTCAATCAAATCTATATTTGTTCAGACAAATTCAGGAGTACATACAAAAATGATCATGATGAATGTTTAAGACGATTAAGAGCAGATAACAACGGTGTTGAAACAATTGAAAACAAACGAAAGGAAACTCAAAAAAGAAAGTAGAGAAGCAAAGTAAAGTAAGGCATAAACTGTAGTCTGTAAGCATTCTGAAAGATCAGGAGTGTGGAATTCGATCACGATGCACGAAGCAAAAACTCAAAACAAAGCAATTATTGAAAGAGAATAGTTAAAAATAGTGCAAAATTTAAGGTTGCTGGTGAAAATCGGTGGCTTACCGGCGACATCTAGTCCGTCGTAAACGCCCCGGTGGACGGTGCCGAAAGTACCACGAGCAATGACGCTCTTGATTATCAGTTTGGACGGATCGATCTCCCACTCCAGCCGCTCCTTAGCAGCGACTTTAGTAGACCTACTGCGAGACATGGCAGCGGAAGTGAGAAAGCTGTTACCATCTTCATCTTTCTTTTTGTTCTTCTCCATCGTCAAGGCTCTGTTGAGATGCCTCTCAAGCTGCTCATCCAAGCTCTTGAGATCAATCTGATCCGCTCGCACAAACCCATCATTGTTGTCCTTCATCTCCGATTTCGATTCCTTTCAAGTTGGCGGCAAATCAGAGCAGTGTAATGGACAGGAATCGGTGGCTGGAATCAACAAAATTAAATGATTCAATTCAGAAATTGAGAATATCTATGAAGAATTCGGTGGTGATTCTTCTTCTTCTTGCTCGTTTCGCTGTTGTTTCTCGGCTGCTCTTCGTTTCCACAAATTCTGCAATGGCTTCTCGAATCATCCATGTGGGCACATGAATTTGCCTGCTCATAACGTGTGCTTCTGACCCACTTCGGTCTTCTTCTCTATTTATTATTTTTCTCTCTCTTTCATTTTTTTTCCCCAGTTCCCAGCCAATTAACACATCACTGCTTGTTAATAAAAATAATGGTATTATTTTATAAACCAACAACGGAACTTAGGTTTGAAATGAGTCCAATAATGGCATTTATTTATCTTATTATAAATTATTATAAATATTTTTCTTCTTCATCTTCTTCTTATTATAAAATTAATTAGGTTGTACACGTCCAATAATATAGTATTTTTTTTATTAATATAAAAATATTATAAGTCATCAAATCAATAAAAGCTCTAAATTAAAATTTTAAATAAATAATAATGGTACAGATTAAGATTAAAATCCGTTTAATAATTATATTATTTTTGTGTTTGACCGTCTAAATATGTTTTATTTTAAATATATTAAGAAGTTTAAAATGTAACCATTTATGCGATATTGGTTAACAAATGAAAAAGAAGAATATTTCATAGAATACCTATTAAATTTATGGTATTCAATGGATTTTTTTTGTTTTCTATATGTTAAGGGAATTATATGTATTTATAAATTACATATTTAATTTTGTTCGCTAAGAGAGGAGCATAATCTGAAATTGAAGAGCGTAATTAATTACATTCCTAAACTGAGTAACTAATGTGGGCCAATGCCAATTCAACTATTGTTTAAAAAAAAATTAACACTAAATTATCCATAAAACTTTATTTTTAATTTATCAGAAACTAAAATAAAACGAAAATAATAAATCGACGTGGGATTGGGCTTTTTGGGCCGATTTTGCCAACTGGGCACGTGTCGTAAAGCTGCAAACAGTACGAGAGTTGACGCCGTGAAGAAACGGCGGTACGGTTACCAATTCTATTCAGAATATTCGTACACTTCCGTTACTTTCCCGTCCGTGTCTTTCGCCCTTCTCTACTACTCACATTTCTCATTTCGCTTCTTCCCTCCACGAAATTTCGCCTCTGTTTTTTCCATCCACGATCTTACGAGAATTAGCTATTGTTCTCGTGATTGTTTTCGATTCATTGCCTTCAAATTCAATCAGGTTTCTGCACCGTCCTATGGCGGTTCGTGATTCTCCAACCAGCTTGTTCTAGTGAACAATTCTCCCATCTATGGCTACTCGAGGCGTCGATTTCAAGTGGTAAGGCCTCTCACTATCTAAAACAATGAATTGCTGTATTGATGTACTCTCTTGTATGGAGAAGAGAAGTTGTTTGTAGTCAACTTGATAGGTTTTGGACGCCGTACTTGATTCTTGCAGGTATGACGGTTTTTTCTTGTCGATGCTCGCGACTAGTGTGTATCCTTCAGTGTTTTGGGGAATTTTGAAGTTTTTTGTACGAAATTCCTTTCAGTCTGTTAGAATGGTTGAGTGATAACTCGTGTCTGATGCATTTACTTTCATGGACTGTGATTCCACTTATCGTGTTGCCATGATAACGGATGCATTTACTGGCATGGACTGCGTTTCCTCTTATCGTGTGTCATGCTTTGGCATAAGAGTTGGAAACGTATTCATATCCTATGCTTTAAAATCTCGAGCAATGTATTTCTCTTTACGTATTTTATTTGTGTATTTTCTTTAACTATTTGCTTGATAGAGTAATAGTTTCGATCAGTTGGAAGAGGTATCATACTTGTGTACATCCCCTGCATATATGGATTGTGGTACGTTATTCTTAACTTTAAACAAGTATTACATATTATTACTATTTTTTGTTTTATCTCTTGTGATTTTTTTTGGGGTCAATGATAGTCAGTTATTGGTACAGGTTGATTACACTGCCGTCTTTCTTTTTCGCCTGCTGATGTTTGTAGACAATGGACTTGCCGCTGGAATGGGTTTGTAAGGCTTTCAACTTTTAGTTTTACGTCAATTTAGGGCAGCAAAATCTTACACTTCTTTTATTAATCCTCCAGATATATTTTGGTGTCAACAAATGAATTAAAGCAGTAAAATGTTCCTCCAATGCCTTTATTATGAATGGTATTGGTTGAGCTTTAAAGCTGTAATTCTTTGGGGAAAGATCAAAACAAACTTGGATTCTGACATGCAAAGATTTGTGAGCATTTGATTCATTATCAGAAGCATGGTGACAGAAGTGTGGAAAAGAAAGGAAAACAAAAGATAGAACATAGAAGATCTGTTGCTAATTTAAAGAATCCTGTGGCGTTTGCTAATTTAAAGAATCCTGTGGCGTTTGCTAATTTTGTTTTGTTCTTTTGGGACTTTAACTGTGAAACTTCAAGTAATGAATGTTCACTTTCTGGTTCTGTTAGAATTATTATAGATCTTATTTCCTCTTGGGAATTGGGAGTCTGCACAAGTTTTGCCATACCAGTTAGTTACTTTGACCAAGTAGGTCTTGACGAAGGTCTGAGAAATTTTTTTACCCTTGAATTAGTTATTTAGTAAATACATGCACACTTGTCATTTTTTTACCCCATCTTGTGATTGAAATATTGGTTCACTGCTGCATTAAATATAAGAAAGTTATGATCTTATAATTTTATCAGTTTGGCTTATCATCCCAATGGATGTTCTTAACCGTAATTGGCAATGCATTTTCCTCTCTCTAATCTTCTATTTCAATATTTCTTGTATAGTTTATGCCATTTGAGATCTTCTTATCTTCTAAATTTGTGTACCATTAGGGACTTTGGGTGGCAGCAGAGATATGCTCGATTTTGTGGAAGAATTGTGGTCCTTTCAGTCCTAGCGCTTCTGCTATTTCCATTTCTTTGGGTTTGGACTGCCATTGGTACTTTATGGTTTAAGCGGGCCCATAATTGTGTATGTTATTTCTATTTCAATTCCCATCGCCACCACCAGAATCTTCATATTTCTACAAATTTTTATGTAATTATTGGTTTAAATGTGTCAGCTTCCTGAGCAAGGTCAGAAATGGGGATTCCTAATTTGGTTGCTTTTTAGCTACTGTGCCCTCGTATGCATTGCTTGCATGTCATTGGGAAAGGTCAGTTCTACTATGTTTACTCTGTAGATTATTATTGGAGTTTATTATTATGACTTATGTCTGGTACTCTCTAATTGTTTGTAGCTCAACTATCAGTTGTTTTTATGTACGACCTTTACATTCTTTTACGGTTCTTGTTGAAATTTCTCAATGTTTTTCTATATATACTTTTGTACATGAAATTCACGTAGTTACCTTTGAACCCTTCTTGTAGTGGTTAACTCGTAGACAAGCACTCTTGTTTCGGGCACAACAAGGGATCCCTGTATCAGAATATGGGGTAAGCAGTTAAGCTTCCTGCATTTTAAAATTTCTGAACTTAAAATACGTGCATCAATTTTCATTCTGGGTCATCAATTTCTTTACCTTGTGTTCTCAGTGACATCCATCTGTATATCTTATTTTTTCTACAATATATTCTCTGCTTTCAATTAAAATATTCAATTTTTACCCTGATGATTCTTCCAAAGGCGAACATATACGATGGATTGATTGTGAATGAAGTAGAAAGGGGGATAGCTGTAATTAGTATATCTATCCTTACTTTTGCTCTTTAGGTTCTTTTTGGTATGTGGTTCTCTTCTCGAAATTTTTTTTGTAAGTTTTAATTTCTTGTATTAGATGCCAGAAATGACATATTTAGGACAATATACTTCTTGCTCGTGATGGAACTGATAGAGAGCAATTTTCTTTACAGGTCTTGGTTGACATGATCCGAGTACCTGATTGGGCTTTTGAAGCTGCAGGAATAGAAACAAGGGTAATGGGTCAAGATGCTGCTACCTACCATCCTCATCCCGGACTTTACTTGACTCCAGCTCAGGTAAGTCTATTAGCGCTTGAGTTGACATTTTGGTGTCAATATTCTTGACATTTCCCCAACACCTGTTGTCTGGTAGCTTAAGAGTAGTTTTGTACTGTTCGTAGTATTGTCCCTTCTCAGTGGCTGTACAAATTATTAATTTAAAAGTTTGAGGGAAGTTGATCGACATGACGCATAATGTATGTTGAAGCTCTTTGCAAAGAGGGCTCTGTGCCTTATGCTCTCAGCCTTTACGCTTTTTATGAGAGATTTTGTCTAAATCTTTTTTAAAAAAAAAAAAAAAAAAATTGCCTGCTTTGTAAAGCCATTTTGTGGGTTCAAATTTATGATTGAATCTTTTGTTTTGAAATCTGATGGTCAAGCTACTCATTGATGCTTGAACAGAGGGAAGCTGTGGAGGCACTTATTGAGGAACTTCCCAAATTCAGGTTAAAGGCTGTTCCAACAGATTGCAGTGAATGCCCTATCTGCTTAGAAGAGTTCCATGAAGGGAATGAGGTAATTGATATTTCATGCCTTGCCATTTAATTTACAGAAGTTTGGTAAACTTGTAGGGGTAAAAAAAGAAACTGTCAATTCATTTATGATTTGTATTGTACTGCTTCTTCGAGCTGGGGAAGTTCGAGGAATCCTAGATTAATGCTTATAAATACATGAAGTATCATCTTTTGTTGGAGAATTATTGAAAATAAATTTGCGGGCATTATAAATTGGTGCAGGTTCGTGGCCTCCCTTGTGCTCATAATTTCCATGTAGGATGTATTGATGAGTGGCTTCGACTGAATGTGAAATGCCCTAGATGTCGTTGCTCGGTCTTCCCAAACCTTGACCTCAGTGCTCTTTCCAATCTTCGTTCTGATACCGATAGGCCTTCTGCAAGTGTTGTTACAGCCAATAGTTATATGATATCTCATCCTTTGAGCCAAAGTTATCTAGTGAGACTGCAGGGTCTGCTTCGACCTGTTCGCACAGAAAACACGGGTACACATGGTGATTTAGAATCTGCTAGTGCTGTGGAAGTTACTGAGAATGGGTCCGCCCATGACCAAACTATACCAGAACGGTCTCCCGTAAGACAAATGCCTTTAAGTCAGTCTACACCACAACTCTAGGTAGTTGGGGCTTTTTTCTCCCTTGCTATTTTGACTGCTTCTAACTGCTCCTGTAAAAGCTAAATGATAAGCGTCCACATCTTGCCATTTGCAAATCGTGGCAACTGTGTAATAGTAAACCTCGAACATTTGGTTTTTGTATCCAAGGAATCTACTTACGTTCTAGCAAAATTCAAATCTTTCATTTGTTTAGATCTTAGTACTGGACTCTTCAGCCATCTGTGTAGGGAGATTGCCCATGTGCTATTTGCAGACGCATATCTTGCAATTCCACTCGAGAATCTTCTACTTTGACAGGTTGGTGTTAACTGTTCCAATTTTTTATTATTATTGTTTCTAACTCCTATTCTCTGGTTGACGCAGATTTTACTGTGAGAAACAAAACAATGTCAACTCCAGGAATAAATACTGTTACTTCATATAGAAGGCTATTTTGAAATTCCCTTAAATTGAGGAGGCCAAAGCATGTGGCAGAAAAGGGTGGCGTTATGAGAAAATGAGTTAATAATTTACCTATTTTAATGTTAATTTGTCAGTGCTTGCTTCTTTAGGTGGGGTCATCGGAAATTGTCTGGTTTGACGAGCACTCCATTCTCCATCAGCAATGTGGCAATGACCGAGTGGAGCCAGCCCTATTGAACAAATGTGGTGACCGACAGCCTTCCCTTATTTTTTCTCTTCATCCTTTATATATATATAATTCTAACTTGCATAAATTATTAGTAATTGAAGTCCCATGTAATAAATCGTGAATCAAGTTTCATAGTTTGTTCATATTTTTGTTAAATAATGATTGAAAATTATTGAAATGTTAAAATAATATTTATACAAAATTTAGGAGCAGACTAGAATTTCATTAAAGAAATTAGGGTTGAAATTTTTTAGAGATGTTTGAACTTTTCTTCCTCTTAATATTCTCGGTTTTATCTTGTCCGTGGATTTAGGTTATTGGGGAAAGCAACTGATCTGGCTGGTATGCTTCCAATTTTGGCCACAACATCTACAAGGAGCCCCACCACTCGAACCATGAGTTGCCTTGGAGTATGTCTATTCATTTCCAGGTTTGGTTGTCACTTTCTTATCATAGACTTTTGTTTCCTTGGCAGATTTGACATTAGAGCGTGTTTGATAAATATTTCCTTTTTTGTTTTTGAAAATTATGGTTGTTTTTTAAAAATTATGATTGTTTTTGAAATTATGAATTTGAATATACGTTTTGTGTCAAGAACCCATTTCATGAATTTGAATATACGTTTTCTTGGCAGTTTAATTTAAAAGTATAATTCGACTCTGTTTTAGGGCCTTGCGTTAAAAGATTATTTTATTTTTTTTTGTTGCTAAATTTTTTTTATAAAATAAATAAATAATAATGATAATAATAAAACTAATCTGGGCACATTTTATTTATTTTTGTGAAAACATAATTTTATACAATTTTATTTTTTGCGAAATAATCCACGATTTTTAGTAATTATATAAACTTTACCAAAATTGTCGAGACATTGTAGGGTTCTTGTGCATGTGCCTGGGGCGCTGCATCGGGTTGATGAAAAGAAAGTATATTTTTCTGATCCCTTTTTTTTTTTTTTTTTTTTTTAACTATGATGAAACTTGTGACTAAAAGACCAATCAGTAAGTACAAAAAAGNGTCATCACTATTAAGCTGACACGTTTGTCTATGACAATTATGGAAATGATTTATCCAAAAAAAAAAAAAAAAAAAAAAAAAAAAAAAAAAAAAAAAAACCAATTATCAAAAAAAAAAAAAAAAATCAATACATATACTTTTAACAAATTATTTTGAGTTTTTTATTTTTTATTTTTATTTTTATACTTTGAACTTCATTCCAAAGATATCATTGTATGTTTTTTTCTTTCAAAATTGTGAAAAGAAATGAGAAGAATTACATGACATATTTTTCACATAGGATAGGCAGTTACTATGCAGAAATTGATTTGGTAAGTGATGCTAACAATATTTTTTTAGATTAAATAAATGATAATGACGATTTTAATCTGGTTGTGTGTGATATCTTGTATTTTTTATTTTAATTCTTTAATTTCCCATTTGTGTTTTAATGACGAGTATGTATATTTTTAAATAATTTAATAGTTCTGTGTTATTTAGCCTAAATTATACAAAATAAAACATAAAAATATTGCATGTCATTAATAATTCTGAAATTATTTATCTGGTGTGTTTATATACTTCAATTATTCACCATAATATTTATTTTAAAAAAACGTGCTCAATATTTGATGTAATTAATTATTACTGAAAATATTTATTTTAACTATAAATTTGTTCAATCAAGGAAACAATATATTTTATACCATCAAACACTTTATTTGTAAAATAATTTAAACGGTTGGTATCACACCGATAAAATCAATAGCTTTCAACGATAGAAGTCAAAATACCAAGTGAAGAATTCAAAGCAAGTGATTGGGAAATGTGTTGATATTTGATCTTTAAAAGGTGAACGGATTGAAATGATTTATATATTTTTTTTTTTTGGGTAAGATATTGTGATAGGACTGTTTTGGATTAAAAAGATTATAAGACATATGTCATACTTGATTTAGATAGTTCTCAATAATCTAATATAATATATGTTGTTTACTCATAATGATCACTATATTTTACTTGATAATCTCAAGTTGATTGGATAGCTTGTTGCCTAAATAAGTGAATTAGTCACAACGTATGTCTTAATTAAGATCAGCACACTATGATTTTTAACCGTTCAAATTTTATCAATACAAATAATATGGGGGATGGTTGAGGATTGAGACTGGGAGGAGGGAGGAGGAATATAGTGTTCGAATTAGTTTTAGCTAATGAGGATTTTTCTTCCAATTTTTTCTCTCATACTATAATCAATGTTCACTGTGTATACATCCATTTCTACTGTGTAGAATAGCTCTTTTTAATATTAATTTGAGTAATTATTCAAATTATACATTAATACTAAAAAGTAACAACAAATTTTATTCCCAAAAAATATATACAATCTAATATTCTCGAATCTAAATAATAAATTAAAAAAATATTTTTAACATGGCTACAAGTTGTAAGGTGATTTTATTACATAAGATCCATAAACTTAGAAGGACTATTGAGATGTGTAAGACTTGGAATATGAACAAAAGATTTAAACCAACCACTAAAAAGAACATTAAAAAAAAAAAAAAAAAAAAAAACTTCCCTTTCCTTTTTGGTGGCACGAGAGCTGTTTCTCTTCGTGGGGAACAATCACGTAAGAAACCTACAAATTTGATGGGTATTCTTATTCTAATAGGCTAAAAAGTTATCCAAGAGGGGAAGGATTCTATCCTTTCATCGATCACAGCCTTCTTTCTCTCATTTCCGTCTCATACCTACACACAAAAATAATTTAACGCCACCCAGAAGAAGAACAAGAAGAAGAAACGGTGAAATCTTTGAGATGGGGGTCGCTAATACTTCATGGGTTGCCGGCCAAGCTATACCCATGCTTCAATTCACTCCCTTTTGCTGCTTCGATTTACCCTTCAAGAAATCTAATGATTCGAGGCTGATTATGGGTTGGGGTTGCGCTATTAAGAATCAGGGCAAGCTTTCGATTACTTCGACTAGGAATTCCAGGAATTCTCCCTTGTACTGTCGTTGCAGTGGAAATGACAATAATATCAGCGGCAGTTGCAGTAATATTAGGTCTTCTTCTTCTCCTTCTTCTTTGGAATGGGATTGGAGTCGGTGGAGCCGCTATTTCTCTGAAATGGAACAGGCCGAGAGCTTTGCCTCTGTTCTCAAGGTGCACTTCTTTTTATCATTATTTGTGTGCATAAGATTTGATTGATTGTGGATCTTATCAAGTGGGTTCTGGTTCGCTGCTTAGTTGATGATTAGAGTTGAGTTTTTAATGCTTCATAATCAAAATTTGGGGTCTGTTGGTTGAATTAATCTTTACATATTCAGCTTTTGAACATGACTCAGTCTGGTAATTCGAACAAATATGTTTGTGGGTAGTAGCTTAAACAATCTTAGTTTACTTGCTATTGGCTCATGAGGTCTGGTCGGTGTGTTACAGTTTCAACTTGAAGAGGCCGTGGAGAAAGAAGATTTTGAAGAAGCTGCAAAGTTGAAACTGGCTATAGCTGACACTACACAAAAGGATAGTGTTGCTGAAATCATGTCCCAGCTGAAGGTCAAAACAAGATTTATATGATTTACAAGATTGTCAAATTTGGGGTCACCTCTTAATGTTATTTTATACATTGCAGAGTGCAATAGAGGAGGAGCGATACCAAGATGCATCGATGCTGTGTAAATGCACAGGAAGTGGACTGGTAATCTTGGAGGATTCTGCCCCTAAACATTTTAATTTGTCACTGTTTTCTTTAAGTGAATCAGGATGCTTTTTCCTTCCTATCTTTCTAAGTTTACTGCCAATGAGTACTGCAAGCTACTAGTGAACAATGTAACAGAAATGATTCTTAGTTATAAACTTTTAATTTGAACCAATTGACCGTCTCTCGTGACATTCTTAAATTAACATTTTAGTTTTCTTCTCGCCATCTGATGAGCTTTCTTTATGAATTATCAATGTGTTCTTATTGGCTTTTCTCAATACGACCATAGATGTGAGATCCCACATTAGTTGGGGAGGAGAACGAAACATTCTTTATAAGGGTGTGGAAACCTCTTCTTAGCAGGCGTGTTGTGAAAACCTTGAGGGGAAGCCTGGAAGGGAAAGTCCAAAGAGGACAATATCTATTAGCGGTGGGCTTGAGATCTTATAAATGGTATTAGAGCCAATCATCGGGGGATGTGCCAATGAGGACGTTGGGCCCCAAGGAAAAGGTGGATTGTGAGATCCTACATCGGTTGAAGAGGGAAACGAAATATTTTTTATAAGGTGTGGAAACCACAGTAGAGTTCTAGACTAGGACATGATATTTGCTGAAATCAATTCTATCTACTTGTAAATGAAATTTTGTTAACATCCTCTGAGCCATTTTTGAGCAGGTGGGCTGGTGGGTGGGGTACTCTCAAGATTCAGAGGATCCCTTTGGCAGATTAATCCGTATAACTCCTGGAGTTGGCAGGTTTATTGGTAGGGGTTACAGTCCTAGGTAAGATCTTTGTCTCCTTTGTGAAAACGTCGTTATTATTTCGGAAACACTCGGCTGATAATTATTGTCTTCACAGACAGTTGGTTACTGCATCGCCAGGAACTCCACTGTTTGAGATTTTTGTTGTCAAAGATGATGAAGGGGGATATGTCATTCAGGTGCTACGCTGAATCCTCACTTCGAAAGCAATTAACGTTTTTTCTTTTATTATGTTCAGTGAGCTAACGAAGACTACATTTATGTCTAATTTTTCTGAAGTAGGAGCTGATGCTATCATCTATTAGCAGAATCCAATATTAACGAGAGATTATTTCAATATGTATTCGCTACAGGTAGCGTACTTGCAACGATCCAAAGGAAATTCAACAGTCTCAACAAGTCCACCATCAGAACCTTCAAGTAGCCCGTCCACATCCGGAGTTAAGAATGAAACTGTTGTAGTCATTCCTGAGAACGAAGTCACGAGGGAGCAAAATGAGGAGAAGGGCACTGATTTGGACGAAGCTACCGAGGAGGGAATAAAGGGTGTGATAAATTTTTTGAAAGATAAAATTCCAGGATTGAAAGTTAAAGTAATGAATATCAATGCTCCTGAGGAAGTCATAGAGGATGCTAACTCTGTTGAGCATTTGATGCAAGAAGATAATGAGAAAACAGGGACTAGTGGCAGTTCTGACGATGAAATGGACAAGTTGGATGAGATTCAGCCTGAGACGGTTTCGTTAGGAGAGAACAGTGATGCCAGTGACGACGAAAAGGATTTGGACATGAAGCTTTATATCGGTGGGGTTGTACATAACAGCGAAGAGGCTCCTACAAAGGATGAGTATGTTCGCCATCCAGCTAATATTAAGGATATGGATAGAGATTCTTTTGTGCTGCATATTTCTGGAAGAGGCCTAGATCTCGATGCTGCAGAAGATAAAGTCTCGAAGGTCAAAGTCGCAGCTTTAGCAGCCCAAGGTGTTTCCGAGCTTATGCCAGCTGATGTTGCCAAGGCATTTTGGGGCGTCGATAAGGTTTCGCCAAAGGTGAGATTGATATCCATTTTTATTCAGAAATGGCTTTTTCCTTTTAAAGGAATCAAAATAATTTCCATTTTTATTCACCAGATTTCGAGGAACGTTCGTGAGATAGTCAAACTGGCTGTCAGTCAAGCACAGAAGCGGAGTAAACTATCTGAATATACTACGTTCAATCGGATTATCACATCGAGGGGAGACCGAGATCCATTTGATGGTGAGTTTATTGTTTTTGTTTTGAAATTAGTTGCACCCACATGTCTAGATGGTTATAACACTTCTTGTGGGACAGGTCTCTACGTTGGTGCATTTGGCCCTTATGGCACTGAGGTGGTGCAGTTGAGGCGAAAATTCGGACATTGGAATGATGTGGATGACAAGGACAAGCCTTCAGAGATGGAGTTCTTTGAGTATGTGGAAGCAGTAAAGCTGACTGGTGATCTTAATGTTCCTGCAGGCCAGGTCTGAATTGAATTCCAATATTGTTATGGTTTTACTGGTTCAGTAAAACCACAAGTTTTCTGTTTGCACGTCTCGATAAACATTCATATTCTCGATCTGATGTTCTTATAAAATTCAGGTCACTTTTCGAGCTAAAATTGGGAGAGGAAACCGCTCTGCCAGCCGTGGAGTGTATCCAGATGAACTGGGAGTGGTATATACCATATGTCCTTTCTACTTCCCTGGTTACTAATGTATGCTTTTCTAGTCTGTAGTGTTCGACTTTTGTAACAGCCAAAACTCACCGCTAGTAGATATTGTCCTCTTTTGACTTTCCCTTCTTACTTCCCCTCAAGGTTTTAAAGCACGTCTGCTAGGGAGAGGTTTCTATACCCTTATAAGAATGTTTTGTTATCCTCTCTAACCAATGTGAGTCCACATTGACACACCGCTGGTAGATATTGCTCTCTTTGAGCTTTTCCTTTTGGATTTTCCCTCAAGGTTTTAAAACGTGTCTACTAGAGAGAGGTTTCCACACCCTTATAAGGAATATTTTTTTCTCTTCTCCAATCAACGTGGGATCTTACAACTTCTCACCTCTTGTCGTAAGTATAACCATCATCATCTCTTAGAGAGATTTGTATATGTTATGCACTTCGCAATGTGTTACTGAGGAATTCAGAACAATGTGGGAGGTTTTGACGGGATTGTTTTAGAATAACTGAATTCGGGGAAAACGTCAAAAACGAGAAATAGCATTTTCGTTTACTTACTGCTGTCATGTGTTTTCTTTATTGCTTTCTAAACTATCATCTCATGTGTAGAACATCGATTAAGAGAATAAAAGAAAAATAGCTCAGAAATATTAGTTTTTACAAAACATTTCGAGAATAAACGTGAAACGGTTTTTAACTCGTTTAAATCCAAGTATGGGTGATTTAAGAGAAGACTTGTTTATGCAGGTTGCTAGTTATAAAGGTCAAGGACGAATAGCTGAATTCGGGTTCCAAAATCCACAATGGGTTGATGGAGAACTTCTCCAACTAAATGGCAGGGTAATTCAACTGATAACAACTTCATTAAGAACAAGAACCATGCTCTACTTGTATCAGTACATTTGATTTCATCTCCAATTCTGCAGGGTATCGGTCCATACGTCAAAGGTGCAGATCTCGGGTTCCTCTATGTCGTTCCTCAGCAAAGTTTCCTCGTACTATTCAACCGTTTGAAGTTACCGGAGTGAAGTATGCTCGATTCTCACCTCACGACCTGCTTCAAATTCCCTTCTTGAATTGAAAGAGTTGCAGTGCTTGCCTTGACAACAGGAAGAAAATTCCAGCCTCAGTAACAAAAGGTTCAAGCAAAGAAGACTCTTCCAGCTATGTATCTATCTCCCACTGCATTTCTTCTTTCAGTAAAAATTTTGAGTCTTTAATAATGTCTACTACCTTTTCCCCTGAGGTATGTATCAAATTTTGATGATTTTAACATATAATAGTGTGATTCTGGATGAGTTTTTGTGAGCACCCTGTTGTTTGCCTGTGAACATGCCCTACATCTAGTATATAGAAAGACCATGCCCATTTATAGAAACGGACCTGAAACTATAGGTGTAACATCTCAATCCCACCGCTAGTAGATATTGTTTGCTTTGACTCTATGTATCACCACCAGCCTCATGGTTTTAAAGCGCGTCTATTAGGGAAAGGTTTCCACACACTTATAAGAAATGCTTTCACAATCCACCCTCTTTGGGGACCCAGTGTTCTCGTTGGCACATTGCTCGGTGTCTGGCTCTGATATCATTTGAAACAGCCTAAGGCTATCGCTAGAAGATATTGTCCGCTTTAGCCCGTTACATATTGCCGTCAATCTCACGATTTTAAAATGCATCTATTAGAGAGGTTTTCACGCTTTTATAAAGAATGATTCGTTCCCCCTTACTTTTGGTTGAGAATGAAAAATAAACAGTGGGCTTAAAGTAGTAAGGGCATTGCTAGTGGTTCCGTTTTGGTGAACAGAACGAATTGCTTGGTCACTGTGAAAGGATGCTTTTCTTGGTGTGTGTGAAGGAAGTGAGTGGGTAAAGTAAGGAATGTCCACTGCATAACATTACAAACTGATGCTTAAACTTGGAATCTTTGCTTGCTTTTCTTGATGTTCATTAGTATGTGCCATTCTCATAACACTATGTTATGAACTGTGCTCTGTTGGCTGGTGGAGCAATATCAAATTTCAACTCACCACCTCCTTTAAGTTATTGAAATTCCTTGGATTTCTTGACGACTTAGCATTGTAAGGCTGGAAAATTGTCTTGGACAATTTGTCGAGTTGCTTGCCCCAAACAAACTTGTGGCAACCTTTTGGCCGCCCAACACTGACCAATAACGCTAGTCATTTTGTTCGTTAGGTTGACTGAAGCTTCTTCTTCATGAATAGTTCCTTGATCATGTGATCGGATCTAGTCAAGGTCTTGAATTCAAGTTTGAGTCTCAAGACCTTAGCGGCTAATGCCTAGTTGATCCTTATTTTTTTAGTGCTCACAAATAATTTTTAAGCTGCTTATTGGGTTGAAAAAATTAGTCTCATTTCTTTCTGGCTTCTGATTAACATTTGTGTCTAGAGTTATTTATAGAATATAATAGAAAAAAAAATCCATAATTTGCTATAATATCAGTATTTAAGAACAATATAAGGTCCACAAAATAAAATAAAATACATTTAATTAAAGTGGACAATTATGAACAAAAAAAGAGCGAAACGACGTCGTAAAGATGGGAGTAAACGGAGCGCCTCATTCAATTTGACGAAAGGTTAGAAATTAGGATGAAAAAAAAAAAACGGAATCACTTTACTTTGTCGGAGAGGCTCTAAAATACGGTAAAACCCACTGTTTGCAACCCTTTTCCTCAAATTAAATCTCGCCACGTCATACAAAACATTACGTGTAATCAGCACCGTTTGATTATTCCAATCCACCGGAATCTTTCTCCCCATGATTTGATAATGAATAATCAAATGATGCCACGTGGACTATCCTTCTTCCCCCCCCTCAAACTGCATTTTCCTTTTTTTTCTTTTGTAATTTTTGCTTCCTCTCTCTCTCTCTCTCTCTCTCTCTCTCGAAGAATTTTTCTTGCAAATCCTTCAATAAAAACTGTCAAAGTTTGAAGCAGAAATGATTGAGACGAAATTGAAAGCTGAAAGATCGTACGACTCTTCGTCCAGAAATTCCGAGTCGTCAATTCTCAGTCATATGGAGTCTCCTCACTCGCCGCTGCGTTTCCACTCGCCGCTCCGATCCGACGTCGGCGACCCTCCCGAAACGTCTCCTTATGCTTCTCCGTATGCATCTCCTGAGAAGCTGCCTGATAACTCCAAGTCGATTGTTGTTGTTGATGTTGATAATAAGAGTACTCAGTTCTCGCCGCATCGGTCTCCCAATGCTGGTTCTCGGAAGCTGCCGGAGTACGCAAACTTTCCTGGAGATAGGTCGGCTTCGTCTAAGGTTATGTTTAATCGGGCGATGAAGGAGGAGGTGCCGCAGTCTGTGACCAAGGTAGGGCCGGCTGCGAGTGGAGTCGAGGAGGATGGTGGTGGTGGAAGATCGCCGAAGCAAATACCGCCGCCGCCGAGGAGGTCGAAGGATGATGCGTTGATGAAGGCGGCTTTAGGTTTTAGAGTGTGTGAAGTGGCGGTTTGCTTGATTTCGTTTTCGGTTATGGCGTCTGATAAGACTAAGGGATGGAGCGGCGACTCCTTTGATCGTTACAAGGAATACAGGTTTCTTCTTCTTCTTACAATCTACTCGACGCCTAATGTCTATTACACTAGAGAATATTGTAAGTTGGATTTGCTTTTGGCTGTTCAGGAATTTGTACATTTTGATTTTGTTGATTTGTTTCAGAATTGACTACACTTGTCGTTTCCTCAATTCCTTGGGCTGCACAGTACTATTTTAGTTCATTGTTCAGTTAGCGTCAACTGGGACATGCATTGTCAATCTTTTACCATACCAATTAGCTTTCCATTATTTGAATCCTATAAATTTGCTTCCAAGGAGAGTCATGGCTTGAAACAATTATTGTGATTAATGATCTTGAAATTCTTCTGTTGCTTGTCTACTACATTGTCATCACATGAGGTAGGTGCTTTAAATGTAGTTTTCAATTTCAAGGTACGTCTCATTGTAAATGACGAATGGCATGTTAAGAATGGAGGCGTCGCCTTCGTTCCAACCTATTGATTGCCAAGTTTTCAATTATTCACACTGTCCAAATGAATTCCTTTGCTAGACTATTTAATTCAGTGACCAACAACTTAAAGCATATTCTGAGTCTCTGACATGGCCACTTTTCTGTCTTCCCCGAGTCATTTGCTGCTTTGAGTTGCAAGTTCTTAGTTCTCATGTTGGTTTTTGGTATAATTTCAAGTGTGTGTACTGTGAGTGAAGGATTATAATGGAAGCAATCTCACTGTTAGGATTTTCGCATAATTTCCATGCCTTTTTGTGATCAATCATGTGTGACATTATTCTTAGCTTCCCTTGTATTGGAAGAATTCATCAATTATAGGATATATCTCATATTTTGTTCAAATGATTTGAATCTATCTCTTTTTGCAATTTTCCAGTAGTCTATATGATTTTGCCCGTCTTATATTATCTGATTAAGCCCATCTGTAACAGGTACTGCCTCACTGTTAATATAATTGCATTCGTGTATGCGGCATTTCAAGCGTTTGATCTTGTCTATACTCTAATCAAGAAGCACCATATGATACGTCATCGCGTCCGTTCTTACTTTGACTTCTTCATGGATCAGGTTAGTTGTGCAAATCTGCAGGTCTGAATGAATATTGTTTAATGTCTATAGCCATGTGTTTCACTGCTGCTCTGCTTCAATGAATGTGTTTCTATGGTTAAAGGTCTGTTTTGTACGGTTCTGTAGCCTGACGAATAGGATACTTAGGCTAAAAGAAACTCGCTGGATTGCTTAGAGAATCCTTTTGGTGCCCCCACAAACTGACCCAATTCAATGGTTCAGATTTCTAGTCTATTTTTGTGAGATCTCATATTGGTGGGAAAGAGGAATGAAGTCTTCCTTATAAAGGTGTGTGACACCTCTCCCTTGAATATGCGTTTTAAAATTGTGAGACTGACGGTGATACGTAACGGGTCAAAGTTGACAATATCTACTAGCGGTGGGTTTTGATTGTTACAAATGGTATATAAGCCAAACATTGGATAGTGTGCCAGCGAGGACGCTGGGTCTTCAAGGGAGTGGATTATGCGATCCCACATTGGTTGGAGAGGGGAACAGAACATTCTTTACAAGGGTGTGGGAAACCTCTCCTTAGAAGACACGTTTTAAATTGTGAGGCTGACAGCGATTAGTAGCAGACTAAAGCGGTCAATATCTGCTAGTGGTGGACTTGGACTGTTGTTCTACATTAACTAACGATGCAATCTTGGTTTTTTCAATTATATTGGCAGGTATTGGCATATCTTCTCATATCGTCGTCTTCCTCTGCTGCGACACGTGTTGACGACTGGCAATCGAATTGGGGAAAAGATGAGTTCACACAGATGGCCAGTGCATCAGTCAGCATGTCCTTCCTTGCCTTCGTTGCTTTTGCTGTTAGTTCGCTTATCTCTGGTTACAACCTTTGTAGCCGTGATCCTGCATGATACAAAAGCTCACCCTTATTCTCTTTTCCTTTCGAAGAGAAAATTTATATTGATCGTCACACCAAGATTATTCTTCTTATTATGTTTGTACATAGATATCATAGCTATAGCTCTGTCCTTACAATAAACATGATACCCAAATTGTAAATTGTTGGATTGATATAAATGAAGCTTCTATTGCTCTAGCAGCAAATGGCATGTATATATTATACACATAGAACAGCTCCATGAACATTATATCCTCAAGTAGCCTTCCTTCAATTTTTGCATAATTTGCTTTTTCAAGGATGTTTTTTTTCCTAAAAAAACATAATTTAAAGATTGATTATCTTTAAGAATGCTTAATCATTAAGAAAATCAAATTGAATTTCCTTTTCAGTACCATCTGATTTATTCAGTTTTGTTGTTAACACATGGGCCGCCGTCGGCCCAATAGATTAAAGCCCATCCCTTCTTGAAGATTGAGCTAGTTTTGGGCCTAGCAAATCCTATCCACCGACCATGAATATAGAAGGAGAGAGAAAAGTCGGCAAGACTTGAAGTTTGTCTTATTCTTGGATATTTTCTCAATTTTTATTATTTATTTTTTAGTCATTTTTAAAATTTTAATTTAAGTCCTTATACTCATGTCACGTATTTCATTTAAATTTTATATTTATATTTAATACATTTTTTAAACTTGTCAATGGGTGTAAATTTAATCGATAGACAATTATGGTGTAAGTACCTAAAGAGTAAAGCCGTAACTTCATCTGGCACTTCAAATATTAGTTTATTTATTTGGTTAGATTTCATAGACTAAATAAATATTTATTTTCCCTTTTCATTCATTTTTGT